CCCCCCCCCCCCCCCCCAACTCATCCCTACCCCAACATGCCTTATACATGTCAAGCTGCTCGGGCTTCAGTGGACTAGCAGATATCTCTAAATATATACGCACTCACTTTACTAGTTTGTAACTCCAATATTACTCATTACACATACTAATTATTCCAAATTACCCTCTAATTTACTTCACCGCCACAACATTTTCACCCACCGTCTTAGCATCCACACTTGCTCACCTGATAGTCACACAACCTTTGCAGACGTTTGGAATTGTTGCAGCCTCCATAATGCTGGAAGGAAAAGGACAAACAAAACAACTAACAAAACAATCCTAACTAGTATCACTTTAAAACATTGATCGACCATTTCAATTAATCAATACAGTAACAAAGCATAAAAATTACCAGTTTAGTTCACCAATCTCCAGGAAACCCCAGAACTACCAAGACCACAACTATCAAGCTATAAAAATGACATCCTGTTCTGGTACAAGAAATATCAAACAATTGTCAGCATGAATAAATAGCTCAATCCAACAGCACACTAACTCTAAAGCACGATTTTCTTTTCACAAATAATAAAGTTAAGGTTGGATATTTACTCTGAACCTTCACATAGCGCATCCCACAAAACTAAGAAACATCCCGAGAGGTATCATCTACAGTCATCCAAACTTGCACAATGCAACAAAAATGTGTTTGCAATTGCTTCAAAAAGTATCATCCATGATCCAACTAAATTTACCACGGAACTGAAAAATAAAGTTCATTCCAGTAGACCAATATATGTTACAAATATAACAGCGTTGTAAATAATGAACCCGCCCAAGAACTACAAGCATTCAAACAGTTGAACTCAGTCAAAGCATTAAGCTTGAGTTCCAAAATTTGTACAGGGAAAAACTATGAGATAAAAAAAATTGTATTGCATTCAAATCCAACATCTTAGTTATCAACAACAGTACTGCTAAACCGAAAGCCAAGGTAGAAATCAACCCCAATGAGTCCAAATTTTATCCCAACGAAATATTAATAATGGGTAGAGAAAATAAGAACACTACAGAATAATGAAGCTCATACAAAATAACGGAAACAGGATTTCATTAACTGAAGAAACAGATAAAGGATCTAAGACAGATCAAAGTACAATCATTTAAAACCTAACACAGAACCCTTCCCTTAACAAAATCCCACATTTATACAAAATTTCACCACCACCCAAACCCAAATTCTCCAGGCCTACCTAGCTATTTAACCACCAAAGCCATATAAGGTCCTCCCCTGCCTCTTGAGGGCGTACACAACGTCCATGGCCGTCACAGTTTTACGGCGAGCATGCTCAGTGTAGGTTACAGCATCACGGATAACATTCTCAAGGAATATCTTGAGGACGCCACGTGTCTCCTCGTAAATAAGACCACTGATACGTTTGACTCCTCCACGGCGAGCCAAACGACGAATCGCCGGCTTCGTGATGCCCTGAATGTTATCCCTCAGCACTTTACGGTGGCGCTTGGCACCGCCCTTTCCCAAACCCTTGCCGCCTTTTCCCCTTCCTGACATTTTTTCAGTGAAATCTGAAATTTCAACGGATTTGATTTGTGACGTGTGAGATATAATGGTGTGAATGTGTGATTTGGTGGGCTATATATTTGGAGAGACAGAGGAAAAGAATTCTTGAAAACCGTTAGATTTTGGGTGCGTATCAACGGTGCAGGATGGTGATCCGCTTCTAATGTCGTTAGTTGTTATCAGCCATTGTAAAGAATTGAATCGACGGTACAAAATATGCTGCTTGCAGGATGACGCGGCTCGTGGCTAAAGGTTCTTTTGAAAATAGAGTACAAGCTTGATTTGTCCATATTTGATGGTTATTATTTTGTAAAAATAATATTTTGAATAGTGATTTTTAAAAAATGGTGAAAATTTTTAAATTTATGTGTAAAACATTTTATTTTATAAATATGTGGTTGAAAATGAGTATGCAAAAATTAAAGTAGCTCAATTCTATAAATTATTTTATACATGGATTCCTAACATTTTCTTATTCTCAAGATTTAATTACACATTTTTTTAAAAAAAATTACTTTTTATGAAATTTAAAGTAAAAGAGTTTAAATTTATTATTATTAATAAAATAAAAATATTATTCAAGCCCGAGCTAAGATCTCAACTTACATTAATTGAACTTATGTATAATCCAATAAGATAAGAAGTAATAATATACGATAATTGGTTTCAAAGAATTAAAAATAAAAAAATTCCACCTGTAGGAAAATAAAACTTAAAATCTTTTTGACAAATTTATAAATGGTTAATAATAGTCAGTGTTCTAAAAGTCCTAAAGTGTAACTAAACATGGTGGTCAAGGTTCAACCTTTACAAGCCTAAGAGTAAAAAATCGTTATTTATTTTTATTATTATTTTAAATACTTAATCCTTTTAAAAGTTATTTAATTGTTAAAATAATACATACTAAATATCTAAAATTACAAAATACTATATTTAATTAATAATTCTTACATATAAAGTTTTTTTTTTTTTTGTACTTTTGTACGTATAAAGTAAAATAAAAAAATTTTAAAAAGAAATAATAATAATAATTTAATAAACTAGGTCAAATAAAAGGTTCTCAGAAAAGGAGAAAAAAAAAATTAATAAAGAGCCAAGGCACTTATTACCGTCGACGCAAAACATTTTGTTCGGGCTTCGCATGTTAGACACGCTTTTTAGAACATTGATAACAATAGTGAATATATTATGAAATGTGTGAATAATAATGACTAGTAATTCTAAATGTTCGGTTGAAATTAATGTTTAATTTTGGCTAATTTTTAAAACTAACATAGCAATCAAACTTTCATATTAATTTTTTCAAAATTCCATTCTTCCTTCTTGCGGCTATTCACCTACGTCAACTAATGATGGATTAACTATTTGAAAAAAGAACTTGTGTCAAATAATACTGTATTTCTTATTTCTAAAATATCAATACAATCCGACATTCCATATAGAAAACTATTTGGAATTACTCTCACAATACATGTCTTGCATTAAAAATCTGATTTTTACTTAAAACAAAATTGATTACTGTTTAAATAAAGCAGAAAGTTCGCCCTTCTCATACATGGAACTCAATATATCACAGCCTCCAATTAATTCACCATTAACAAAAATCTGAGGAAATGTAGGCCAGTTGCTATACTTCTTTAGTGTCTCCCTCAACCCACAATTGTATTCTTCATCCAGCACGTCTAAACTTTCATAATCCACCCCTTGGCTTTCAAGAATTGCTACAACCCTCTGTGAAAATCCACACAAAGGAGCACTTCTTGATCCCTTGATGAAGGCTACCACCTTGTTCTCCTTCACTAGCCTGTCAACGAGTTCCTCTAAAGGGACTGTCAATTGGACATTGCGACCTGGAGTTAACCTCAGGTCGGATTTCTTCTTTGGAAGCTTTTTTACCCATGTTGTATTCCCAGATTCATTACCTGGCGGTACCTTTCCGGTGGCTGCTATATGTTCTTCCACCCATGATTTCCAAGCTTGGGTTAAAGCAGTTCTATCAGGATCATCTACCACCCCAACCTACGGAAGAGAACTTTTAAGTGATTCAAAAGAAAACGAGAAATATACAGAAACATGAACAATTTACATCAAACTACTCAGTTTAGTAGAATATATGTTCCTTCCATTAACTGCAAATAACTAAAATCAAGTGTCCCAATAGTCAAAATTGCCACATGCCATAGGGTCCTAGGCTTTGTCCACGGAAGCATCCAAAAACTCAAATTGAAGCAAAACGTTATGTAGACCCTGCTCATCAACGTCCATATGTACCGTGGGAGCTGTCGTGCTTTATGATGATAGCGGAGGAGGTGGAGAGGGAAGACTGAGAGAGGCTTTCGTACAAGGAAAAGTGAAAGGATTTAAAGTGGTGGAAAAGAAGAATTTTCCATTGTTTGGTTGTAAATAACAACCAAGCTTATGGAATTGTTGATCTCGTAGCAGTTGAATGAAAATAAGATGGATTTTATACAAATCCGTGATTTGAGATTTTATCTATGAGTTTAATAATCTAGTAATAGAAATAATTCATTATCATCCGGTTAGGATCAATCTAAACCAGCCCATTATGTATATGATTCAACATGCCAACTATTAAACAACTTATTAGAAATACAAGACAGCCAATTCCAAATGTCACGAAATCCCTCACTCTACGGGATGTCCTCAGTCTCTTCTTTCCATTTATTATGATTCTTTCTTCAAGAGTATTGTAATTGGAATAGTCTTATTATTCCAAAGAAAGCCAATTCTTCTTTTTCAAAAAGGAATCAAAGATTATTCTTCTTCTTATATAATTCTCATATATGTGAATATGAATCTCTTTTCGTCTTTCTACGTAACCAATCTTCTCATTTACGATCAACATCTTATGGAGCTCTTCTTGAACGAATATATTTCTATCAAAAAATATAACGTCTTGTAGACATCTTTGTTAAGGATTTTCAGATCAATCTATGCTTGTTCAAGGGTCCTTTCATGAATTATGTTATGAAAACGAATCTCTCTTCCCCGTCATTTTTACCAACCAAAATTAGCCTAAAATGAAAAACCTGTTCCTCCATTGTAACATCCGTACCCAACTCTATCTAGCCAAAAAATTAATGGACCTGTTCCTCCATTAGAAGCTGGAACTTTTCCACTTTCCATCACATCCCAATTGCCCAAACATAAGGTCATGGTCTGTCTAGTACGGTAGAAATTTGGAAGGAATGATAAGATGAGTAGAAAATTAGAAGGTGGAAAATGTTTTCCACTGCTTGATAAGAAGGAAAAATAGGAGGAAAGAAAAATGAGATGAATTTACCTTCCACAAGGGTCCAGCATTTTATATCAAACCCGCAGAAAATGTTCAGTGTTTGCCGTGTTCTATCCTTTGTAGCAAAGGAAGTGACAAAAATACACTAACCTTTCTTGTATGAACGAAAAGATCATCCCAGCCATTTCCTTTCCAAAGCTTCTACCTAACATTTAAAAGATACTTGGAGCAACTACTGTCAACCTAGCTTAAAAGAACAAAATCCCACAAAGTCCCTTATAAGCCTTCCGGTAGGAGACAAGGATCTAGTTCTGTTAAAAAAAAAAAGGAGCTCTCCATTTCTTTTCACTGTTCATTGCTTTGGTACTGTGGAAATGAGGGGAGATGCAAAAATTGACATATAGGCCTCATTTGTCGTTTTACAATTATCTATGAATATAGAAAAAAGCACCTTATTTACCTTAATACATAAAAGGTAAAACAGGCTTCCAGAAAATTGAAAGGAGAACACAATTCGTGTTTCTATTCCTCTGACTCCCAATCATCTCTTTCCTCTTGCTTTCTGCCCCATTTTAGGGTGACGAAAGAATCGTGAGCAAGAGAATTCTTCTCCACCACTTTTCCCAATCCTTTGACTTCACAACAAAACCACTGGAAACAAATCCCTCCCTCCCATTTTCGATCCCTCTCCCAGTCCCTCCAATTTCTCTCACATCAATAGCACTTAAGCCAGGATGCACAGACAAAAATTAAGACAACATATGCAAAAGTTCTCTGAAACTCTTTAGACCAATTATAGACTCAACCAAAGGTTTACTGCTGACTTGTCAACTTTACTACTATGAACTGGTTTGCATTCAGTCGACAGATACGTCCTTCTGGTTTTCAACCATAGCAAATTCAAATGAAATAACACATTTTCATCCAATCCAGTATAACAAAGAGTTTCCTTCTTTTTCATTTTTCAGCTAAGTCACAAGATTAACATTACCAGTTATAAGGGCCACTAAGCTGTAAAAACTATCTATTTCAGTACCTTTCTGCAGGTTCGTTACCTCGATTTCCATTAAATAGCATGACCAAAAGTTTCTATATTACATGCTCATGTGAGTAAAAATCGTGAAATTAACTTCACAAATCTACTCCATATATATGCTATATGCATCAAGAATTACATTTATAATAATACCTTAACAGAACAACAGAGATCGGGCACCGATTTCTTGTGAGTTACAACACTGGCGGCGACATTGCGCGATATGCCGACAAATTGAAGCTCGCCACTGTTATCATAAACGGCGTACACGCCTGAATCTGAGGTAAATATTCCGGATACTAAGTCAGTTTCCTCCGGGACAGTCACCAATTCAGTCTCGGAAAGCTTCTTCACAGCTGAAACGATGACGTTTGCATAGCGAGGTCTGGCTGCGATTTTGGGTCTGAGGGATATGGAGGGGAAGAGAAAAGAGGGCTTTGATAGGGAATAGAACGAAAGAGTGGGAGTATTTTGGGTAGAAAAAATAGAAGATACGCGAATGGAGGAGCCTGTGTGATTTGGGGATGAGAGACTGAAGGCAGCCATTGAAGAGTTTTGAGTTCCACAAAGGTCAGAAAGTGAGAGCAGTGAATATCGCGGGGAGCCACTTCTCTCCCGTTCATTTTTGTCCAGTTATCTTCAGTGCAAGTAAAATCGTGGTACCGATAAACTGGTTCAGTGCGAAGATTATTCCACCCTATGACAATTTTAGAATATCTTCGTTGAATATTTCATTTCTTTGAAAGAGAGCATGCTCGCATTTGCGAGCCGCAAACTAGCTTTAAATTTTTTAAGTAACTATATTAATATTATCAATATTCGCAAATTCGAATTTTTGGTAGCATCATATATTATTTTTGTTTAAAGCTTAAATAGTTTATAGACATTTTTAACTTTACCTATTTTATTATCACCATGCGCAAGAGCATTTCACAGTTTTATTAATAAAAATCGCATTTATGAGTCACCAAATTAAAAATAAAAAAATAACATTTTAAGAAATAAAGATCAGGACAAAAATGAGAAATAAATAAAAGTTTAAAGATGGTAATTATGCTCCCGTTGGATCCCATTATTTGAAATTTTAATTTTTGAAATAATAGTTTTTGAAAAATGTCTGATTGAAAAAAGAAGGAAATTTTTTCAATTTATGTATAATATTATTTTATAAAAAATTGTGTTGTTAAAAAATTTTGGTCCAACCTTTTATTTTATTTTTTAATTTTGCCTAAAAATATATATATTTATACTTTATATATATATATTTGTAGATTTTTATGTAATGACTCACCGATTCGACCGACATTTCGATTCGACTAGTAATTCGAGAAACAATACCTTATTCAGATTAATATTCTGATCGAGTCTAATAACTATGTGTACATCATAATGTACCAGATGATTACATGACATTGATGTATTGATGTTAAATGGTTGAAATCAAAAATTGACTTCCAATAAATTATATCTACGTGTTTCCATTTCTATCTGCATATTTAAAAAAGAAAAAAACAGAAATCTATATCTCCAGCTGGCCGCCTGGCCCGATCAGATTTTCTACGAAATTCCAGAGCTAGGGTTTCGTCGATCCATAGCCTTATAGGTAATGATCTCATCAAAATCTCAAATTGGTACTCACACTTTCTCATCACGAATCGTGATTTTAACTTCTCATCTTCCATTACGTTTTGTTTACATAGTTTCTGGTGATCTCACGGTGAATTCAAGGATGGCTGGAGGTGGAAATTTCCTTAACAGAGTCTTATCTTATGTAGCTAATGAACTGATAGTCAATGGCCTCGCCAACAGGTAATTCATTTGCATATATATATATCAAACATAGAAGAAAGATTGCTCCTTTTCCCCTGTGGGTTGTTTTTTGGAATTATACTTTTAGAGGTAAAATAATTCATGATATTGAACAGCATATCAAAAATTCTCCATCTATGGTGAATTAATGTAATTTATCTGTGAAAGGAGTGTCTTATGGTTGTGTTTAATAATTGGGCATTTGCCAATGATGACTCATCATAGGCTTGTAATGATTGCAGAGATGACCGCTGTTTTTATTTTCACGAAATCTAGTGGTCTGAGGCTTCTCCTTGTTTTTAGAAATATACACTATTGATTATTCAATATGAGAAGGAAACCCTGCACTCTGGTTTAATACTATATTGAACAGAACAATTACTTATCATCAATGTTTCTTTCATACTTAATTATTTTCGTTGTTTTCTTGTGGCGACTCTATGAGTTCATGTTGTCGTGGTTATGTATGTCCAAGAGGAGTCATAAACAAGATGAAAGATTCAATGCCCTTGAACAATGGCCAAGACATTCGCTGTTTTACTTCATTCACAACAATTATTCGAGTTTTCAAGATAATTTACAAACATGTGATTATTGGGGGGCTATTCAGTACTTCAAATAGTGGCTAGACAGTCATTCTTTCTGTTTCATTCAGATTAAGGCTTATAAATGTTGAGATACTGAGGCTTTTCTATGCTGTGTATCTCACACCACAGTTTCACAATAATTTTGTGAGCAGGTTATAGTTGAACTCTGATACTTCACTGAATATTAAGAAAAGAACACATGTTGTTTTCCAGTTGGTTGCTGCCTTTCTGGTTTCGCCTTATGTTTCCAGTTTTACTTTTTATTTTTTGAATGGATGCCAGTGTTGACTTTTTATGCTCGTGATCGCTATTGAGATCTCCCCTGTATTTCTTTTATGAACATCATTGTTCTGAGGCTCTCTGGCTTGTCTTGCAATGCTTTGTTGCAGTCGTGAATAGAAAAAGTAAATGCATACTTAGGCTACAGCGAATATTGCTTTATTGTTATATTCAGTCAATTACTACCCGATGTAATAGCTGAAGCATATTGTTCTTGGTGCGTGTGACATGAATTTTTTTTTAATTTCATTGAACCCCACATGCTACATTATGGTTGGTTATATATATGCCCATATTTGAATTTCTCTTCCTCTGACCAGCTGCATCTTATGTCGTGACTGATACCTATATGTTTTGTTTGTAGTTGTCCTTTAATTCTATTTTATGTTGGAGATGCATTTTAGATCACGAATAACTTCTCATAAAAATTGTTTGTTCATTTTTTATTCCAGTCCTACATTTCAGAGGTTCGCTGTGAGGACATCAAAAAGGATAGAGGATATTTCTAATATGGGTAATGACATTTATCTTTTTTTCCTTACCATTATATCAATACCATTTTTTTGTTAGATGCAAAAATACTATGCTGGTATCATTGTTATTCATTCATTTCTCTTGCCCTTTGCAGCGGCTCAGAAGAAGAAGGATATTGCTGAGCAAGTCAAGGATGCATCAAAACATTTTGAGGTTGGTGTTCGCAATTTTAAACATATCAGTTAAATGGATGTGATTCGCCTATGTTGCTCTTCTTCTTAAATGTATATGGGAGTTCATGAGTAATTTCTTATTGAGGACATTTTTGCTTTATTTTCAGTCATTCAAGAACCAGTGATGCAGGTTGTCTGGTACAGAAAATAATGATAGATGTACAGCTCATATTAGTTCTTGGATTTATATTTGACGGTGACAATTAAGGCCATATTTTCTTTCCTTATCATGAGAAAGATTTGAGCTGAAATTGCTTATATCGCTATAGTTCACTTCTTTGATGTAATTTTTTTTTTTTTAATATGACTTTTTGCAAGAGTCCAGTAACTGGTAAGCACAAGTTCTTCCAGTTACATCCAAAAGCTCATTTGGAAGTTCCCTTGCATACTTATGGTGTTCTGAGGACATTGTTTTTCTTTTTCCTCTGGTTTATAAGAACTCTATCTTCCGCTAGGTTCCTCTGTCGTCTTGGGATTGCTCATTTCACTTTTGACTGTCATTATAGCCTGTTCTATTTCTTGATGTTAATTTTCTCCCCCCACACGATTTTAAAAGTTTATAGCTTTTCTCTGCGATACAATGAAGCTTTCAAAATGAATAATCACAATCTACTTACTATTAGGATTTGGGGCTGCATTTTAAAGAGGTCAACTTATTGCTAACACAAGTAGTAGTAGAATTTATATGTTGGTTGATGTTTTCATATTTATCCGATAACTTGTTCTAGCAAATTGGCGACTCGTTTGAATACTCCAATTTTGAAATCCGAATGCTTGAATTGTTCGTTTGTGTTTTATATCTTGGTAAATATTTTATACTTCAAATTTTATCCGACACTGTTTTGGAACACCAGGTTTCAGATCTCTTGCGTACCTCATATGAATGAGGTTATTTTTTTAGACAAGAAATCGTATAAATTAGTCAGAACAAAAGATGTCTTTATTGCTTCATTTTGTCATCAAGTATAGAATCCAACATGAGCTATTTCAAGCGATATATGCTTGTCGATTGTATACTGAGGAATTAACAAATGCTTAAACATACACGCATATATTATTCTTAGGAAAAATTTCATTTTTTGCAGACTTTACCTCAATCTTCACTTTGTGCCATCACAGGCCCCAAACCTTGGAGAAATTCGCACCAAAGGTCCATCTGGACAGAAACTGTCCAAATCATCGTTAGTCAACCTGAAAAATTAAAAAATGAAATATTTTGATCATTTTAAGGAGGGATATTTTCATCCATACAGTAATTTCCCTTTAAAAACAATAAATGAAAGAAAAAAATCACCATCTTTTTCAAACCCCCGACCCACCCACCCTTCCCCAACATCAAAATCCTGCCACCCTCCGTCAATGTGGCCACCGCAAACACCACCACCATGGCAACCATCTCAAACAACAATTCTCAACACCATTAATCCGACTCAATATTCTTCTAATTACTTGAAACAAAATCTGTCACTTTTTATTCTTTAAATAAGAATCAAGTAACGGAATATTCCGCAGACACTTCCCAAATTGCATCACAGGATTTTTTACAGGATTTTGATTTTCTCTCACATGAAGATGCCCCCATGTGAATAAAAAATTGGCAAAACTCCACCCCATCCATCCTAGCTGTGTGTTGCCTGTGAGTACAAGAATTTCAAATTTCTGTACTTGTAGCATTACCCAAGCATATAACTCTCCAAATGTGTGCCCACCTAGCCAAAATCCCCTAAAAATTACCTCAAATCGCAAATTATCTCGATAGAATTATATCCAAATGAATCCTGAATTTCCAAGCGAGTATCTACGAATAAAAAAATTCCCAAATTGGGAAAATGCGAACACACACCTCACATCACTATTTACTCCAATCTAAATGCATATATACAATTAAACACACAAAGCCATAAGCAAAATAATTGAATACAGCTCAGTAAATAAATTCCAGCATGGCAGAGTCAGTTTGGGTCGGGAATCAAAATGGGGTAAAAAATTCGCGTACCTTATATGAAACTGGTAACGCTTCGAGTTTGTAATGGATCTTGAAATACAAACTGAAATTATACAGATTGATACATATAGTATTCGGATAGAGAGAATATTGAATTGAGTCAATGGTGTTGAAAATTGTTGTTTGAGATGGTGGCCATGGTGGTAGCGTTTGTGATGACCACAATGGCGGTGGACGGCAGGATTTTGGTGTTGGGTGGGTGGGGTGTTTGCAGAAGATTGTGAATTTTTTTCTTTTATTTATTGTTTTTAAAGGGAAATTACTGTATGGACAGAAATGCCACTCTTTAAAATGGTCAAAATATTCCATTTTTTAATTTTCCGGGTTGACTAAAGGTGATTTGGACGATTTCTGTACAGATGGATCTCCGGTGCAAATTTCTCAAAGGTGGACATGTGGTTGCACAAAATGAAGGATGGTGTAAAATCTGCAAAAAAGGAAAAAGGTTTGGGATCGTGGCTGCAATTTTCCCTTATTCTTATGATCTGAAGAATTCAATGTTAGCTTAATATGTAAGGGCTCTGTTCTTCGATGCAGTGTTACATTTTTTAATACACCAGGCGCTGTCCTAATCCATTAACACCGCCACGCCATCAGTCGACTCGTTAGGATAGTTGACAAACTTACTTATTTAGTTTTATTTGATCACACTCGTTTTCAATTATACATTTTTCAAAAAAGAATTATTTTTACATTTTTGATTAGATATTTTTTCAAATAATAAGGTTTAATTTTGTTCAATTATATTATCAGATATGTCACCAGCTGATTTCGATATCGGTCGACTTCTACATTTGAATGTGAACCTAATTAAATTTCAACCAAGGGTCTTATGCTGGAGGAATCGAGTAAGCCAATATCATTCGAGTCTAGGTTTTTTTTTTTTTTTCCAGCTATTGAATTTTGGGTCCCGAGTGGAGGAAGGAATATTATTCGGGTCTAGTCTTGTTTAAATTAGTCATTTTAATTATGGTTAGAATGACGGTCGTGACCGTTATTCGGCCGATTTTTCATAGTCCAAAGGATCTAACATACATTCTCAAGAATATGAATGAAATTCTTCTACTCAATTTAGCTCTTGTTAATAATATCTTTCACACATCTAGCATGCAATTAATTAATAGGTAAAATTATATAAAAATATAAATAATTGATACTATCAAAGAATTCTTCAAAGTCAGATTGTTAGCGTGTGTTAAAGTCATGAATTTTTATTTTTTTAATTTTTGTCTTGAGAAGATTTTAATTAAAAAAAAAAAATCTATACGATTTTTAACTTATAGAACATTCATTATTACGAGGAGGTTTGAAATAAGTTATTGCTTTGATATTCATGATTAATTCCTATAATGTATAGGTTTCGATTTTGTAGTAACGTAATCGTCGAGGGACAGTCGACATCTTATTTGATGAATCCAGACGTGCAGATATTTTTGCTTAATCGTTATGCCCAATAGAAATACTTGTAGTTTATACGTCATATTTTATTAATTTTTAATTACTTGTTTGAAATGAATGATCGAGAAAAATGTTATAAACAAATAAAATTGAAATTATAAGGAAAATTTAATTTTATCGAGAGAATGCTTTTGATTTAGCTAAAAAATTAAGTTATAGTTAACAATTTATTTTAATCAATTTCATGGCATCGTTTACATTTATCGATTTTTCAATCACATTTTTTATCAAAATTTACTAAAATTGAATTTAACAAAATCAAATAGGGGCTTAAATTTGGAAAAAGAAAATCTTTATAAACTCATTAATTGCTCAAAAAATTTGACTCTCTAGATTTAGAAAGTGAATATTTAATTAATTTTGCAATCAAAAAATTAGAACTCGTTGTTTTTTTTCCCCCCCCGTTTTCTATAAATGAAAATTCATAAATAGTTGTATGACTAGATAGCCACATTAATCTCATTTAAAGTTAAAAGATTAACGTAATTAACAAAAGAAATCACATTATAGAGATGAAGATTACAGGCATCAAAAATTGTGACCTTAGTACAACACCAAGAGGTGACCCTATCACCTATTCATATTCTCTCACTTCTCCGGCGACACGTAAGCATATCTCAGCAAGGGGCTAGCACGAGGGGATTTCCCGGGAGCCTCTGGCAGCCTTTTTCCATCGCAATCATAATAAATTACGCCAGAGAAATCCAACGGCTCACATTTATCTCCCATCAATATAGTCCTCTGCCACAGCCCTTCATCTCCGAACGTAATATCATCATCATCTCCACCAAACTTGTCGCCGGAATTTTTCTTGCGCCGGAATTTCATCGCCTTGTTGCTCACAGTTATTAGAAGTTGCTTCGGCTTAGTCAACGGCGACTTTGGCGAACCGGCAGCCATCTTCTTGGCGGCCCGGCTGACATGGTTCGCGCATAGAGACCAAAAAGAAGTGAAGGGTCGTATTGCCGGTGTGGCTAGTTTCTTGAATGAACTTCCTCCGCTGCCGGCGTTGCGTTTGGGAGTGCACGGCGGTGTTATACGTACCATTTTTTTGGTTCTTGGGTGATTAATGGAGGATTATGGGGTTGTTTATATAGAGGTGAAAAGGCGAGTGGGATTTAGGCGTTGACTGATTTTTTCCTTAATATCAATATTCAATATTAATAATTTAATAGACATAATAGGTTATTAAGGGTTTGGGACAAAATAATTTATCGTGTAGTAAATAAATCCTAAAACAATAATTAATGTAAATAACTTAGGAAAGTCACTAAGTTGATAAATAATTGAGTTATTAAATAACCCTAGATGTGGTTGAATTATGAGATCTTGTTAAAATAAAATGGCTAAGATCGATAAACAGACAAGATAAAGCATGTATTAGATCGAAGACGCGGAATTTTCTCGTGTTTATTCATGGTGATCGTTAATTATTTTGTTAAAAGAAATTAGATTGATTGCAACATAACATAAATTTAATTAGATTTTAACAATTAGAGGTTCGACGGTAATGTGTGTAGGAAATTTATTTTGAAAAGAACTGGCTTATTTAATGCATTTATGTCAAAGCTTTCAACCTTATTGATGCTTAATCTGGTGTATGTGACCGCGAAAGATTGTTATATTGTTCAATAAGTTAGAATAATGCTATTAACATCACTAGCGCTAAAATGTTGACACTAATATGACATTAAATAAAACGTATAATTAAATTCCCGTTTGACAATCCAAAACTCTTTAATTTTCCTACTTATTTTCAATCACAATTACAAAATAAAATATTTTGCACGTAAATCCAATAAAAAATTCCTACTTTTTTACCACACTTTATCCAAAAAATCATTACTCAAAACATCATTTTCTCAAAATAATAGTCATCAAATATGGGCTAAATGAATCACTTAATTCTACCTTTATTTGAGCATATCACATAGCACCACCTAAATTGGAATTGTGTAGTCCTGGTGGTGCTGGATAACATTATTCATCAAGTTAGAGTAATATTATCTAACATCACCGGTGTTCAACATCATATTAGGCTGTCAGATATGTGATATTAAATAATAGATAGATATAGGATTCATTAAATCGGATTTATCATATGATGTTGCACCTCGCATAGTGGTGAAGTTAGATAGCATTATTCATGATATTATAATACATCTTTATAAAATGAATAATGTAAGAGTAACTACATTGCCACATAGATTAGTGCTAAACACCACAATACTGAATAACTATATTCTCTCTAAACATTGTAAACTCATGATCGTCGAAGTTAGTGTATAACAATTATTTGACTGCATTCAAAGCATACACGTTAAAGAGATTCAAAGATTAGAAAAAAAAAAAAAAAGTGGAGTATGCTAGTTAATAAATTAATTTCGTTCAATGTCAAGCAATTGTCATTTCATTTTCATTCTTGCATAAGTAACACCCCCAAACTCACAACAGAGTCATGAATAGAATTATCATCTTTAGTTGATCATGATGTTAAAGTTTTATCACGCGAAGAGTAGAAACTAAATTTTGTATTGCGAAGAATGCATTTAAAAATGTCACGTGCGATGTGTACGTGTGTTGTGTATTTGTATATTGTAAATAATAAATATTTTACAAAATTATCTTCATTTAAAAATAATTAACTTTTTGGCCTTGACTTTTGTGGGCCCATTTTTTTTTTTTTTCAAAAAAAATAAAAAGTTAAACGGGGACGAGAGATTCCCGTCTCGTCGTCACTCCTAATTTTAGATGCAAAAACTACGCATGATTTTGAATTATAATTGTAGGATTCAATTAGTACAATATAGTGTAGGAGAATATGAAGTAATTCGAAATACTAATAGAACTAATTGTCATATGTCAATCTCACTCACCTGAGATTGTATAATTCATTAATTTAGAGTTGTTTAATGGTGTCACGGAAGGGACATTCAGGTGGGGGTCAAGTGATGTCCACTTGGCTAAGAATGTGACTTCAATTTGTGCAATTAAGTTTAGTTGACTTTTGAATTAGTCCAAAATTACCAACTTCAATCGGACCCCTTCTTGTTTGGCCTTCAAAATTGACTTTTGAAACTCTTTTGAATCTTTCAATTAAAATTTTGTGTTGGCTTGTGAATAACGAGTTTGAGCACTCGTTCAATCTCGCCTATAATTTTGTGAAACATAGCTATGCACGACACCCGGAGCGAAGAGACATAACAGATTAACAAATAATTAAAACTCGTCTAACTTTATTTATTCTACTAAATAAATAAGATAGTATCACTCGATGTTATTGAAAAAAGATAGATAGCTTCTTCTTTTTAAAAAAAATTAAGCCAAATCAATCACGTTGATAAAAATATTTGTTAAACCTGCATGGATCATAGATAGCGTATGATTGTGATTTCGTACATGTTTAGTAAATTAAAACAAACTTGTTAAGATTATTTCTTTTTAAATACATATTTATTATTGTACAATTCACTTTGTCCGACAAACTATAAAATTAAACAAGACGTCAACACTCGAAAGAGTATATTAATAATAATATTGGAGGATGATTTGAAGTTTAATGGGAGTCGACTCGCAACTTCTGGGGCCTAGTTTTTTCCTGAACCCACCACACACTGAAAATTGGCCATTCAATATGGCAAAATATTATATGACCTTCCTAATTCTTATCCCGACATAGTTTGACTGTGTCCATTATCTAAATTTAATACCAACATGAATCTTGATAATCTTTTTAATTAGAGATCCAGATTTATATGGTACCCATATTCCATCTCGTTATTTAGAAACCAAAATACGAAAAAAAAAAAAAAAAAAAGGGCTCGAAAAAGTGATCTCGAAAATTTTTAAGTATGTCTATTCAACTTCGTTCTGATTCAAATTTACTTATATAATAGTTTCACCTCCACACAATAGCACGTAAAATTGAACTTCATTGTCACATGAATTATATATCTTTTGACATACTAAATTAAATGAAATAATGAATAAATTTGTTTACAACTTCGCATTTACCACGTAACACAAGTTGCTTGGGTAATGGACACTAGCTCCACTAGTTTACCCATATTGTTAGGTCGCCGCCCATTTCATCGTGATATTTTAGTAGATTGATTGCTTTTTATAAACAAAGCATTATTAATTGTAAATGAGTAACTTAGCAACTAATAGGATAATGACAAAATTCTAATTTTATGTTTCGTGTACATATATGAACTTATAGAGTCAAATATGAATCTTACAACGTGATATTTGTTGGAATACATGAGAAATAATTTTAGCCAGAATAATGTTATTCGTCCTCAATTCGTATGAATCACTTTACTCTCATAATTAATTTTGAGGAACTTTTTGGGTGGGTCTCGTGACTAATTAATAGCGTTACTTAAGTGGTAATCAATCATTTTCTTGAGGAAAAAATTACGATTATTATATTGGTATGAATTAAAACTCCGAAGTGACTATGAGTAGGGGCAAATCTACATTGAAAAAGAAGCTAAAATTGGACAAGCTTAGCTCCGGTTTGGTAAAAATTAAAATCATATTTTTAGCCATTAAAATTTGATAAAATGTGTGATTGAAAAGTCATAAATCCCATAAAAAATATGGTTGAAATTAATTATTGATTTTAACTTAAATTAAAATCCTAATTTTAATTGTCACCAAACATGGGCTTATAAAGTAGTACAATAAACTTACTTTAAGTCCGTGTTTGGTATAAATTAAAAAAATAATATATGTTAAATTCAACAATTAACTTTAACCATATATTTTGTAAATCCCATAATTTTTCAACTATATATTGCATCGACTTCAATCAAAATATATTAAAAATCTAATTTTAATTTTCACTAAACAGAGACTGCGTCTCTACTTGAGCTCCATTTTCTGAAAACTCATTTTCGTTTACATTCTCCTAATTAAAAGTAAATTTAAATTTTTTTTATATTTTAATCACATAATCTCAAAAAATCTTTATTACATAAGTCATTTTCACAAATAATGGGAGTAATTATGTCGAACTCCCCCCACTACACACCTTCTTAAAATATCAGAACTGGAACCACAGTCCATCACGTGGCAAATGGATGGTACACGCATGTTAAGTGCGTTCCACGGGTGACAAGTAGCCGTTCATTTGCTCATGGCGACTGGATGACAAGCAAAGAGGTATGATTGGATGAAAATTGTTCATTGGAAGTGATGATTCGAAGCGACCATTCCAGTTCAGTGGGCGGCGGCGGTGGAAGTTAAAGAGAAGGAAGAGTGGCGAAATGAGAGAGAATGAGAGATATAGATGAAGTCGGGTGTATAGAGAGAGAAAGAAGAGATTTGAGAAATAATTAGATTTAAGAGGGTAAATGGTAGTGTGGTGAATATGTAAAATAATTTTTGTAATATTATTACTAATATTGAGAGTTTTAATTATATCTAGTTTTTTTTAAAAAAAAGGTTCGTAACTCTTAATTATGAATTGAAATATTGAAAACACTAAGACCCCGTTTAATAGCACATATTTTCCATGAAAAATAAATTTTTTTTTTCTATTTTTCAACTTTTGTAGTGTTTGATAGACAAAATTTTCTAAGGAAAATATTTTCAAACTTCCCAAATTTTCCACATTTTTTGAGGAAAATAAATTCTTGATGTTTTGGTGAGTAAACATTTTCCATTTTTTTTTTTTTTTTTGCAATTGAAAAAATTTATAGACACAATGGTAAAAAAAATTTCACTTTTATTGACAATTTTCATATAAAACAAAAACAAACTAATGTTATTTTATGATTTTTTTTTCTATTTTTTTGGAAATTAGAACAAATTTTAGACCCAATGGTAAAAATATTATCACTTTAATAGACAATTTTCATAAAAAACGAAGCTAAACGGATATCAAACTTTCAACATTTTCCATGAAAAATTATATTATTCAAACACAATTAATTATAATTCCCAATAAAACAATTTATATGCAAATCAATTCCCCATAAAACATTTTCTTTCCACCTATTTTCCATATTTGCAATCAAACAGACCTTAAAAAGTTCGTT